CAGTGTGTAGCAAAAGAAGATTTAAACCGGTGGACGAGACCAGTCGATATCTGGATCTGGAGATCTGGTAAAACTTAAAAGGTTAAGAAAATAAACACACCCAGAATTTAATTAAAGGGAGAGTTTACTCTAGGTGCTAGGGTTATTTTCAGCTAATTTAGGTTATAATTACGCTACATAAAAAGTTTCAATGTTCAATCACTATTAGAAATATTTAAAAAAAATGTTTTAAAACTAACGACTACAGTTTGATTACAACGACGGTGGCGCCACTCAAAACGCACGATCTGATAAGTTGCACAAAACCACTTTCCAGCCAAGGGCTACAGACCGAGGGTGTTTCTTATTTATTAATTTAAAAGCAAAAGGATTGTAATATCTTATAAACGACATATAGTTTCAGTTATAATATGGATAAATTTGCCCTAAAATGAATATTGTTTGGTTAAATAACATTTAGGTATAAATATAATTGCACTTTTGTGATAGCCCTCGGTCTGTAGCGTACAAAATAAATTGTCAAATACGCAACTTTTTCGGGGTGGCAGCACGGTCGCGGGTGTCATGACGCCTTTCAAATTTCGTAGCGACGATGTGTAATTAATTATAACAATTAAATTAGGTATCTGGTAACAAATACGTGTGGGTATATACGATTTGTTATACAGTAAGTACAGTTGTATGCCGTAAAATCCTACTGTCCCTTTAAAAACATTGTCTATGTGATCGTATTGCGTGTAGGTATCACCAGCAATTGTTGTTTACTTGGAGGGGCGGCGGTTGTTCGAATGACAGTATTCTCCCCGAACATTAGACATTTAAGTCTGTTTCTCTGGATCGTGATTATTTGTGAAAAAACGATTAGGAACGAGACTAATTGAATGTTTAACGTAACATTTCAGTTTTATGTTTATTGAGTTATGCATAAGAAATTATAGGTATTACTATTAGGGTGTTAAGCTAATTTCTATTTTGGTGGATTTTTTGGCTTTCTTTTCGCGTATCGCAGTTATATTCCCCTAGTATTATTTATTAGAAATTTTACATATAACGAAAGTTTATTGTCTGGTTGCTCGAATAACATGGAAGTTGTCAACATGGATTTTCTCGAAAAAACATTGACTGCATGTTGCCCCCACAATCTATGTGCAATAGTTATATAATAAATAAATATATAAATATATATATAGA